GGTGCGGTGCGGTGCGGGAGGCAGTTGTTTAAATTTGTGGTGTAATTTGTGATCAAGATCGGTGGTGGGGTGTTTAGTGTATGTGACCACCTATTTGGACTAATGTGACCTTAAAATTCGATAATTTATGACTAAAAATTAATCTGCGACCAATAAATTTGAAAATATGTGACTGATAAATAATTGTGATATGTAATTTTTTGATCTTTGACCAATAAAATAATCTCTAACCTATAAAATTATTGATTTGAAATCTCGAAATAGTTCGTGACCTACAAAATTTTTGATCTGTGATCGATAAAAAATTGTGACCTATAAAATTTTTGAACTGTGACCATAAAATAAGTTGTAACTTATAAAATTTGTGATTTGTGATCAAAGAAAAATATGTGACCTATCAATTGGTGACCGATGGACAAATTGTGACCTACAAAATTTTTGAATTGTGATCGTAAAATAATTTGTGACATGAAAATTATAATTTGTGACCTATAAAGTTTTTAATTTGTGACCTTGAAATAATCTGCGGCCTACAAATTTTTTGATCTGTGATCGATAAACAAATTGTGACGTATAAAATTTTTGAACTATAACCTTAAAATAATTTGTGACGTAAAAAAATTATGATTTGTGACCGAAAAATACGTGACTAACAAAATTACGAATATGTGACCATATTTTATAAATCTGTGACTTATATAATTAATTAATTAAATCGGAGTTGTTGTCAAAGTTGGAACAATTAGGGAATCGGAGTAGTCACTGGAACAAAGATGCGGCGGAATTGTCATCGGAATAGTCGTACGAATATTTGCCGGAAGCAGGGCAGTCGTCGGAACGGTTGCCGCAAAAGTTGTTGAAAAGTCACTGGAGAAGACTGGTGGTCGGAACGATCGCCGGAGTAGTCCCCGGAGCGGTAGGGGTGGTGGAGGTAGGGGTTAATTATATTATAATAGAATTAAATATTTAATAAATTTATTTAATAATTTATTATTTTATAAATAAAAATATAAATAAAAAAATCTGATTTTTTAAATTTGAAACTTATTTTCTTATTCTTGAAATGACACATACTTAACAT